TTAAATGAGTTAATTCATGTAAACTGTTTAAAACAATGCTTGCAATATAGTAAGCTCCTAATAAGTGTTAGCTATTATTATGGCAATTACATTCTGCATTCCAGAAATATTTTGATTTTTTTATAACAAGCATGCATTACTTTTGGAATAAGAAAAAACAATACAAAGTAAAAATAAATTAATGCAAACTAACTTGTAAATGAAAGTTGTAAATATTAATATCTTTTTCACTTTTTATATCAAAAAGCACAGCGTTTTTTTAGTAAGTGGTTACTTACAAGGTTCCAAAGGTTATTATTTATTTTTCTTATTTAGCTTGATTTTTCTGCTATAAATTAGAGGTTAAATGTAGATATGGAAAATCACTTCAGTTTATACAATTTAATTCTTCTAACCCCTAAGGAATTATTTAAACTGTGCTTGTCTGAGTGTGTGTGTGTGTGTGTGGGTATGTGTGTGTTCAACACTGCTTCAGATATTGTAAAACTGCTAATCATGAGAAGGGCACAGAAGGGAAAGAGGGATTTTAAAAAAAAAAAAAACATAGAGAGAGGCAGAGTCTTGCTACATTGCCCAGGCTGGTCTCCAACTCCTAAGCTTAACCAATTCTCCTGTCTCAGTCTCCCAAGCAGGTGGGACTACAAGTGTTCGCCACCACACCTGGCTAAAAGAAGGACTTTTTAAGCAACAGAACCAGGTACTGTAACAAATACCTTGCATAAAAATATAAAACTGCCACTGAGTATTCTTATTTTCTACATGAAAAAACTGAGATTTCCTTACCTATAAAGTTCAAGTGACCTGCCAGAGTTGCTCAGCCAGTAAGAGAAGGCAATGTGTATAAACCTTTTCCATGACAGAATCAACGAATGGCAGCCACTGACAGTGGGAAAAATATTCTTAATTTTTTTTAATGTGAACAAACGAATTAGAGCCAATTTTAAACAAAATTAAAATATATAAGCGCTGAAATGAAGAGCTGAGGTAAAATTAAGGGTGTCTAAAGTGTGTGAAATATACAAAGAATAGGAAGTCAGTCTTTAATAAGGCGAATATAGGACAGATATTTAAATGAGGTCAGTCTGACAGACCCCAAACACGAATCTGTCACATGCCAAGCTCTTCAACCAGGTTTCTTGATCAAAATCATCCACCAGGAAAACAAAGAACAAAAGGATAAGCAGACACCTAACAGGAGGGCAGTTTCCATTTCTTTTAATTGGTCCCACACACAGCTTAGCCAAACTAAACAAACAAAGGCTCACATGTGAATTCAAAATCATAGGAGAACATGTAGGAATGTAGTTTATAGGAGCACGGGTGAAAGGAGGATACAATTTTACAAAATAATAGAAACTGCATATTGCTGTGAAATCTTTTCATGGCCCCAAGGGATTAAGAGGAAATTCTGCTGCTCTGTGTCATTTAGATGATAAAATGTGAAAAAGAGGCCTAGACTAAGGACTGGAAAATAGTCAACGTTTTATTTAAATAAAGACAATCGCAGGGAAATTCTAAATCTCAAACTAAAATTAACCTCTGCTTGGTTGATCAGAGCCTAAGATAAAATTTAAGTCAAATAACCAACTAACAACTACAAAACACTAATAGTTTGAATATCTTAGAAATGAAAAATTATTAATATATAGATGAATCTGAATTATAGGATTTTTAAAATTAAAGACATTACCGCAAGCCTGGCCATGCCCAGCCCTGTGTTCTGACCATATACAACAAAATCACAAGGAGTTATGAAAAGACACGAGACTTAGACTTATTTCAAAGCTAAACTTAACCATTCATTGCCATTATGATTTATAGGAAGAAACTTAACTTCCTTCATTCTCAGGATATTAATTTTTTAATGGTATAAAAATAATAATGTTTATTCTACTTATATTTACAGAATAAATTGAAATAATAGAGTCCTTAGCAAATGTTAATTAAATTTACATTCAGCTAGATTCTTCAACCTTAAAAAAATCTGCCAGTTCTATTTTTTTTATAAAAAGATACAACTTCAGAAATGACAAAATGCCCAATCCTGAAAACTGATAAGCCGATCACTTATCAAGTAACTGTCCACTCAGCACAAAGTAGGGTCTTTTAGATCAAGTATGTTAAATGTTTTGCTGAGAGTAATCTGTAGTCACATAACCTGAATACATTTTTCCCCATTTAATTCCTTCCAGAAAGGCTACTGTTAAGTAATTTCTGACTATTGGCCTTTCTGGGATAATGGGATTTTTATTAATATGTAGACAGCGCTCTTAGCTGTCTGGACCTATGAAGCCAATATGAAAATGCCTGTCTTAATACTAACGATACTTTTATATGTCATCCAAGCCATGTAACAAATTACCTCCTTAAGTATACGTGTATCCTTTCTAAAGCATGTTCATTCTAGTCAGTTCACCTTTTTTGAATTCCTTGTTTTATCTTATCTACCCAACTTCGTTTGCTTCTCTCCAGGTATCATCAACAGATGCTTTCTTCTGCTCTGTAAGACCAGGTATGGCTTCCCTTCCCCGGCCCCCAGCTCTAAGAGTGTTTCGGCACATGATCTCTGGAATGCCTATGTTTCATGTAAGACTAAACTAGATAATCCCTATACAATCTTATGGCTTACTGGGTGTAGAGATAATGCCCTATACCTCTTGGATTTCTGCACACTCCTAGCATAAAGGCTTTCATGGGCAATTAAATATTACTGGTATCATCTGACAGCCACACAGAAATAAATGAGACGTTACCCTGCATGTGCAGACAACGTCGTTTCTTACTAACTTGTCTGATGAAAAACAAACACCAAAATCTCTTCAATCCAGTATCTAAAAGTACTTTTTTCTTGTTCGATTTCTTCAGAAGAATCATACTTATCTTTTTAATTCATTCACTGTAGCTCCTCCTAACCATATGCACACATTATTAAACATGGATTTTCTTCATTTTTAAAGAAGGAAGGTGGCATTAAGGAATCCAAGAAATAGATCTGTGTTCTCTCCGAGTTTCTTACTAGTTGCATGACTTTAGGTAAAGCATGACACTTTTTTCACCCTCAGTTTCCTAATCTGCAAATTAGATAGTCTTCATGTGCTAACTGGTCAACTATCCTTACTACATATTGGAATGTTGTAAAGAAATAATAATAAACTAAGTAAGAATATGTATAAAAATACCATGTCTCTTTACAGTATTATATTTTGTATCTTTGACATACCACCTGCTGCAGGAAGTGATACCACCCTTGTCTAATGCTTTATTGTATTTCCAAATCAACAGATCTTGCTGACACAATCAAGAGTAAACAGTGCAGTTAATAAAACCATGGACACTAGAAACAATCTCTAATTATAGTTATCAGGGCAATTAAACACTTTGATAAGATTAGATTCTTATTATAATAATTTTGTTCTCAACTTGCTCATGAAATGTGTGAAAATGTTTTGGTAAATGTCCTGTAAAATCAAAGTACATTTGATATTTGTGTTGTTTCTGATATCACATTTGGGGTTTTACTGGAACTCTCTGAGGTAAGAGGTAAGAAAATGGCATCTTTGAGCTTGGAACCACTATTATCCATGCCACACTGACTAAAGGACTGTTCAGAGGCAGAAATCCAACATACATACTTATATCTTCTCTAATTTCAAAATATAGTTTGATATAAGAAGAAACCTTTTTTTTTTTTTTTTTTT